ATATATATATATATAGATATTCATGAATATAACATAACTTAAAAGTATATTTAAAAACCGAAAAAAATAACATTTAATAATATTAACTTTGAACATGGATACAATGTTTTGACCGCGTTTTTTAAAAATGAAAACATTTTATAAAACATACATACAACAAACAATTTCTTATTTACCAGTTAAAATATTTCATCTTTGAAAATGGCTAAATGTATAGCCGAAAGCGCTCGGATAAAAAGAACATTCGGACAGTTTTTATATAATTTATCATCTGAAAAGAGAAAAATTATTAGATCGCATGAGAAATTGTATAAAAACTAAATAAAAGCACCTAGTGTGTCGTATTCAATGAAATGTGCATGAAAGAAGGATTGCTACCTATATATGCAAATATATATATATATATATATATATATATATATATATATATATATATATATATATATATATATATATATGTATGTATGTATGAATATTAATATCCGATAATGCATCATCGGATATTATTTTCGAAATATACTTTCATGAACGTTTTGTCAAATGTCAGTATAACTTTTATTACATGCCCAAATTTATCATATATATATAAATTTATATATATATATATATATATATATATATATATATATATATATATATATATATATATATATGAAGAAATATAGTTTTAAGGTGTATATGTTCATGGGATAAAGTGCCCAATATCTGAGATAGAGCGTATATATATATATATATATATATATATATATATATATATATATATATATATATTGTATATTTAGGCAGCAATTTTTCATTAATGCATGTTTTATTAAATAATATAGACAAGTTTTTTTTCTATTTATTTTAAGTAAATTCCTTTTATATTGTCTGATAAGCTTAATGACATTATCATTGAAAGACGAAAGGAAAACACCATATTGATACTTGTTTAAATCCATTCTAAGCTTTCGACTTACATAAGCCATTATCAAAGATGACAGTTATTTTTCCATATATCAACCAATAAACGGACGAAATAATAATGATAGTTTGTTTTTGTTGCATGAAAAATTTCAAAGGAACGACAAACTGGTGTATACGAGACGCGGAATAAAATAAATAGACAAAACTTTTCTGTATTATTCAATGAAACATGCATTTATATATATATATATATATATATATATATATATATATATATATATATATATATATATATATATAAATTTTAATTACACCAATCAAACAGCCTAGATTAAGTTGTAATCCGAGTTTTCATACAATCCCCAATGTTAAGCAACGTCGTGCCTTGTTAGTATCTGGATGGCTGACTGTTTGGGTATATCAGGTGCTGTACTATTGGATGTGCGGTCGGTGTAATGGGTAATGGTCAAGAATTAGAAATCAGAGAGCCGAGTTCTAACTCCATGTGGGTTCGTCATGTTCACTTACGCGCAAATAGCCTTGGTAAATGTAGGAACACAATCCTCCTTATTCTACCTATGGGTTAAATGTAAAAATAATCAATACAAATGAAATATGCCTCTTTTACCATAACAATTACAATGCTGCCTAAAGTCCCCAGAAATGGTAAACAACATAAAAATAAACGAAGAAAGGGGAAAAATATTTCTCTGAAAAATTTTCAAACAATATATATATATATATATATATATATATATATATATATATATATATATATTTAAAGTATAGGGAAATTTATTTACTGAAAAAAAGTTTGAACAAAGTAACTATAAACAATTTTTTTTTTCTATCCTCTGCCAGCCGCAATGATGGAAAAAGCTTTACCTCGAACCAACGCCAGTGAGACACGCTGCAAAGGCTACTCCGTTACCCCCTCTCGGCCTTGCTAGCAGAGTCCATAGGAGAAGATAAACGAATACATTTTGGTACCAGCGCGGCTGCAGGAGTTGCCGGGAGGTAGCACAAAGTTCCGTCCATCCGCCTTAGGGGCTCCACTCCGGCTTTGAATTCACAATTGTCCTTCTCCTAGACCAGTTGCCATCCAAGGCTATAAAACCCAGTCTGTCTTTCTATTTACCCATAGTTGAAGAGAGAAGAAGAGGACTCACACCTTTCACGTAAGTGAATGTAATGGATTCGACTGGAATTCGAACTCGGCTCTCCGATTCCTCAATCCGAGTCGCTGCTGGACTATTACGTAATATCTGTCCTTCTCTGTGTCAATCAATGTTGGTCAATTGGCCGTTCATGTTTGAATGACGATATGCTGCCAAAATACACACGCACTCATACACAGACACAAACACAGACACACACACACACACACATATATATATATATATATATATATATATATATAAACAACACACACACACACACACACACACACACATATATATATATATATATATATATATATATATATATATATATATATCCTGGTACTGGCGTATTTCGTATAGGGAGAGAGAGAGAGAGAGAGAGAGAGAGAGAGAGAGAGAGAGATGTACGTTTGTACAATAGACCAATGCATTTTAGAGATTAAAAAATCAACAAACAACAACAATAATAATATCTTCAAATATACCTGGAAACTACAGAAGACTGATGATGATCATGGAAAATCTAGAAAGGACTTAGGTTAAAAAAAAACTATGCCACCTTCCTTGATGAATTTCATCTTAACATCAAGAAACAGATTAGTGATCTAGAAAGGATTATTATAAAGATTGAGATAATACGTCTATATTATTCAATGAAACATTTGAATGAAGATATGCTGCCTATATATATATATATATATATATATATATATATGTGTGTGTGTGTGTGTGTGTGTGTGTGTGTGTGTGTGTGTGTGTGTGTGTGTGTGTGTGTGTGTTCTACCCAAATCTCTTCTCATCTATCCGCGTGATGGGGACATGGGTTTTTCTTTCTTCGTCTTAATACTCATTTGCTTCCAACGATTCGCACCAAAGAAAAAAAAGTGCTGCAAAAGTTTTTTTCTTCTTCGAAAAAACCCGGCAACACAGTTATTTTCTGCTTTGGTGCGAAGTGACAACTGATCGAGTTTCGACAGGGAATCTGCGACCGAATTCCTGTGCAAATGATGAGATTCGAGGATGAAGCAAAGAAAGAAACAAGGAGTCTGAAGAAGAAAGAATATACAACAGGAAGGGAGGAAGGAATGAAGAACATCCATTATGAATTATGGAAAAAAAAAATTGGAAAAATGTGTAAAATGGTGATGGACAAAAGAATAAAAGAAAGTAAAAAACAAAAATCTAAGAATAGGGAAAAGAAAAATGCGAAGAGGCGAAAAGCGTCATTAAAAAAAGAGAACAAATAAAAATAAATGAATTTAGACGAAGGAATGAAAAATGAAAGAAACAAAAACAAAGAAAGAAACAATCACAAAAGTAAGAAAGGTAGAATTAGTAAAAGCGATTTGGAAATTAAAAGAATGAATACAAATAATAAAGAAAGAAAGAAAGAAAGAAAGAAAAATAAATGAATAAAGAATAAATAAAGAATAAAGGAATATCTAAATGAATAAAGAATGAATAAAGAATAAAGGAATATCTAAATGAATAAAGAATGAATAAAGAATAAAGGAATATTTAAATGAATAAAGATTAAATAAAGAATAAAGGAATATCTAAAGGAATAAAGAATAAAGAACTAGGATTTCCTAAAATTGACAATATAGAAAACCAGCGATTTGTTGTTAACCATGTTTGGTCTTTTCAGAATGCCAATTCTCTTCAGGTTTTAACGCCTTACATTTAATAATTGTTGAAGGAAAACCAATTCACAACCCTACAATCTGGAGAATTTCAAAAGAAACAAAGTGTCAGTCAGTTATGTGCCATACGTGATACATGACTGACGAGGTAGATTTTGTTTTCTCGCAGTAGGTTGCCATTACTTTGTGGAGTAGACCAGTTGCCATCCATGGCTATAGAACCCGGCCTGTCTTGCTATGGGTAAATACCAAGACAAATGGAGGGAGAAGAAGAGGAGTCATACCTTTCCCAAGAGTATTAGCACGTAAGTGAATGTAATGGATTCGACTGGAAAGTCATTCAGTCAATTATGTGCCATGCGTGATACACGCTTAGACGATCATGTATCTTTTGATACATGACTGACGGGGCAGATTTTTTCCCGCAGTAGGTTGCCATTTCCTTCTGCGGTAGACCAGTTGCCATCCAAGGCTATAGAACCCGGTCTGTCCTGCTATTTATCCATAACATGTTGTGGGGTGGACGAGAAGAGGACTCATACTTTTCAAAAGGTTATTAGCCCGTAAGTGAATGTAATGGATTTAACTGGAATTCGAACTCGGCTCTCCGATTCCTCAATCCAAGCCGCTACAGAACTATTACGTAATATCTGTCCTTCTATGTCAGTCAATGTTGGGCAATCGCCTCACAGATGAAGAAGAGACTTGAATCAACAGAAATGGGATTATACAGAAGGATGCCGAGAATACCATGGACTGAACATATGAGCAACTCATCATCAGCGTTTATTTATTTAGCGAAATTGTGAACCGGAGTGATCACCACTTCCCGCCATCTCACAATTTTAGTTCATGGTGATATTCAAGGCAGAATGGTGCAATGTCTTGAGTTTTTTTGTTTTATTTTATTTTATTTTTTTTCACCGGGCATGTTGAGGTCATCCCGTCCCTAATGTCAGAAGTTAAAGTGGCAATACCTAAAAAGCAGCAAGGGATTTCAGAGATTTCCTTCTCCTTCTCCTAGAATGGTTGCCAACGAAGACTATATGGGCTAAGTCCTATTATTTACCAATAGCTGGAGGAGAAGAGATGGCATCATACCTTTTCCAAGGGTATTAGCGCGTAACTGAATGCAATGAATGGAATTCCTCAATCCGAACAACCACCCATTTCTACACCCTGTTTCCATTTGAAATTAACAAGACTAAAGAAACAGGCTAAACTGTTATGTGATTGAATGCAGTTATCCTTCTCTTAGACGATTCCTCTACCAAGATTAAAGAAAAGAAATACCTAAGGAAAAATTAAATAAAAAAGGGATTGTACCTCATTACATTATACATACATACATATATATATATATATATATATATATATATGAAGAAATATAGTTTTAATGTATGCTATATTTATGGGATAAAGGGATAAAGTGCTCAATATCAGAGATAGAGCGTATGTAACTTATATATATATATATATATATATATATATATATATATATATATATATATATATATATTTTCTGTAGTTCACTGCATCCAGCAAGCAGAAATATTTCTTCTCCTGATGATGGCCATTTTGGCAGAAACTAGTCGAGAAATCTAAATGAAATAATAATAATAAAAGTGAAAGAATATTAATCTACAACCCAGTGTGTCTGATGATTTTAGTTTTTAAAATATTTTATTGTTCAAAATATATATATATATATATATATATATATATATATATATATATATATATATATATATATATATATATATATATATATAATTCATGTAGAACATAATCTTCCTTGCTGTGCATTAAACTCTGACTCGTGCTACCGGTGAGGATAATATATATATATATATATATATATATATATATATATATATATATAATCCTCACTATAATATATATATATATATATATATATATATATATATTATCCCTCACTGATATATTATATTATGTTATAATTTTTAAATAAATTATATATATATATATATATATATATATATATATATAAGTTACATATAATTATTAATTAATTATAATTACATATAAAATTTACATATAATTATTAACATATACATACACATTAACGTGCAAACTTGCACAAAAAAGCACATGCCTGCATGCATCTGGGCTTTTTTTTTTATTAATATATATTTATAATATCTATAATAATATATTCTATTGTATATTAATGTAGATATTATATATATTAATGGATACCCAAATTTCATTTGACATCGTTGTAGTGTGTGTGTGTGTGTGATTCTGCGTCCGGTAGGCCCTCTTTAAAGAAAATTCTGCTATTTTTTACTTTTTGTGTTCTTTGTCTCGCATTGGTTATGCAAACCTCACATACATCTATCTTATCAATCATCGCTCGTGTTTATAAAGAGTAATTTTTTTTAATTGCTACGAGTTGCAAACAGGCAGACAGACAGACAGACAGAAAGACACACACACACACACGCAAACACATAAACACACACATAAACAAACGAAGATACATTATGATCCGAATCCCGAATATGCAGTCTAGAATTATGATATACATACATTCTTGGATTAGACACAGTGACGCTGCATGACAAGACAGATGCACGTGAGATAGATAGACAATGAACAGACTGAGATAGATAGATAGATAGATAGATAGATAGATAGATAGATAATGAGAGGACAGGTATAGATAGATAAATAGATAGATATGAACAGACTGTAATAGATAGATAGATAGATAGATAGATAGATCTTATAATAATATTCTTATTATAATATTTTACATCGCTACACAAAAACTTTCAAGTTTCAGAACTATAATGTTCCTTCATCGAGCGTTGATAGACAACTTATGATGGAAAAATTATTTGGGAAACTTCCAATTAAGGAATATTAGTAACGAAACATGAAAGGTTTTGTGTATCGATGTAAAATATCATAATGAAAATATTATATTTTGCTCCACATTGTACTGAGCACTTTTTTTAAAGTAATTGCTACGATCTGTGGATTCTTAAACTGTTCGCTCTTTCTCTTTATTTAGATAGCTAGCTAGCTATCAAAATACGAATATACTTGAATAATGGAAGGAAGGACTGAAGAGAAAAACATTTCTGTTGTCATAAATAGTCTAGAATTATCATAAACATACACTCCTGAAGTAAACACACCGACGCTGCTTGACAAGACAGATGTACATGATGGCTACTTGTCTAATGAGGACAGAATGTTTGAAAAATAGCAGAATTTTCGGGTTTTTTTTCTCTTTATATGATCATTCTGTCGGATTTCAATGCCTATTTGATCGATAATTGATCCCAATTCATATATATATATATATATATATATATATATATAAATCAAATAAATAAATATAAATAAACGTACATGCAAGTACATATATATATATATATATATATATATATATATATATATATATATATATATATATATATATTCTTGTGCCTGTTTTAAGTTTTGTTCGGATATATTCTTTTATATTTGAATTTAATTTGGGACAGTGACTGGTGTAAGATTTCAATTTTCGTTTTCTTTATCGGTGGCTCAAATTTCGGTTGCAGGTGACAGTTTGTTCCTAAATTTAGACATTCGTTCTGTTCATCTGTTACTTGATGACCAGATAGATTTAGGTTTTTGCTTGTTTTTAATATTATTTTGGAGAAGAATATTTGCTTCCACTAATCACCATCCCAACTTGGAACTGAAAAACCAATTAATATGCATTCAAATTTAAAAGATATTAAGTGAAAATAATCCGGTTGTTATCGTTT